TTGTTAAACAATTTGCATAAAAACTAATTAAAAATATTTGTAATTTATATATTATAGCCTTGTAATTTTTTCAAAGATATATACAAAATATCTTATATATCTTTTAATATATTAGCTAGAATATAACAGAGCTTTTCTCAATAATAACTAAAAACAATTATCTAACTTTATTACTTTTTAAGTTAGTTATTAAAAATATTTTTGAATTAAAAATTTGTTAAATGAACTTCTAATATTATTAAATCTTTATTAACTCTACTCAAATATTTTTATACATAATAACTATATTTTCTACAATAACTAAAAAAACTTCTAATATTAGCTTTTTTGTTCTAACAATTAATCTATAACATTTTAATATTCTAAACTATTCAAGACTTTTTTACAGAATTATTACTTAACCTTCTTATTCAAACAATTTAAAAACTATATAACTAACTAATTACTTACTTTTCTCTTCAATACTAATAACCTTTTTAAAATATTCTAATAATTAAATCTACTCTTTAAAAATTTATACATTTTTTTTTTATTGAATTACTCACTATATATAATTATTACTTAATTCTTTCTTAAACTCTCTAATAATATCTATAAGCAAACTTGAAAGCTTTATTATACTAAATTAGCTAAATAGAAAACTCTAAATAATATTTCTAATTAACTTCAAAAAACTATATATTTGCAATATCTACTATATTTGAGTTATTTTAAAATAGGCTATACATAAAGGTTTAGTGACCTAGTATAGTAGTTAGGTTGTTAGACTACTATGCAATAGGTCTGAAGTTCAAATTCTACTATCAATGAATTTAAATAATTTTTTAGACCTTGTGATATATTATAGTAAACTCTATTTGTTTTTAGAGATATACTCCTATAAATTGAGTTACATCAAATCACTTAGAACTTGGAAGTATAGTATAATATTACATAAATAAATCTTGATAGAATATACAAGTAGAGGATCTGCATAGTAGAAATTCTGAGTTAATGAAGTAATATAGCCTTCCAACAGAACTACATCAGCTAAAGTTTGTTCTGAGAAGAAAACTTAGTCTAATAAAGGTAGAAGGTTTCAAGATCTCTGAGCAAAATATAACTAGGACCAGCTAGATACTAGAAAAGAACTAATTGACTGACTACCTATATTTTTTGACTAACAATACTAATATAATGACTATAACTTTTTTCTCTAAGAAAAAAATGAGAATTTTGGTTTACTCTTAACAAAGAATTTGTATTTATACTATATTCTATTTTAGACAAGTTATGTTTTGATTTTTTACAAGTAGATTAATATATATAAAAAATAGATATCAATACAAATCTGCTTAGTAAATAGAATAATAGCTAATAAGAAGTTATATACAAGATTTATAATATATATATTAGTACTATAAATAATTTTTATTTTTTATACTTTAGCATAAACTATAATAATATATTCTATTTAAATTATTTTTTTTCTATCTTTTTTTTCTTCTTTTATTTTCTTTTTATATTTTCTTTTTTTTATATTAATAATTATTATTCTTATATTTTAATATTTCTTCTTTTATTTTATTTTTTTTGTTATTTGTTTTTTATTAGTTAGTCAGAATTCAAATTCTTTAATTTAGAAAGTTAGAAGAAAAAAGTTAGAAAATTAGATAATCTTGATAAGAATAGTATATAGTAATCTTTTATTAATAAAGAGAATATAATTTTGCTTTAGCAAATAGTTTTTTTAAAAGAAAATTTAGCTATTATAGTTAAAGCATATCTAGATACTTTTTGATAGCTGAATAATTCTGAATTTGTATAGAAAGAATATTTATATAGCTAGCTTTGCTTAGTTTATATTTTTGTTATAATCTTATTATAAATTTTCTTTTAATAAATAAAGAGTAAAATTATCTAAGTAAAAAATATATATATATTTAAAGTTTTAATAAAATTTTAATTATTAATTAAAAAAAATACTTATTTCTACTATAATAATTTGCTATTTTTACTATAATTAATTATATAACAAATTATTAAAATTAAATATTTTAAACTAATTTTAGTTTTGTCTATATAGTAAAAATAACAAATTTTCATAGTGAAAATGATATTTCCAAAAAAATTTAATAGTAGTTAGCAATAAAAATTAATAAAATATTTATTATTATTATTATTAAAAAAATTATTAGTTATTAGCAAAAAAAATTTGTTTATTATTATTAATATTATTAAAATAATAAAGATTTTTTTTGAATAATCATATATAACTAGCAAAATTTTTTAAATTAGTAATACTAAAGTAGTTTTTTTGTTAATTAGACTCTAAATAATTATTTAATTCTGATTAAAATTTTTTTTAGATCATTTGTCTAGTAAAATAAAATTTAAATCTTATATTTCTAAACCAAATAATCTGCAAATTTGACTAAAATTAAATAATTTTTTAGAGTTTAATTAACAAAAATTAGTAAAATAATAGATTTATTATATAAAGAAATCTATCTGTTTAATTATTATTAGCTAAATATAGGAATAGATATCATTTCTATGCTGAGATAATATACATAAAAATTTGGGATCTTCATAAACAAAAACTGATCTATTATGATAAATATACTTTTAACGTTGATTATTTTCAGTTTTTATTAGTGTTCTAAAAATAGAGTTCATATAAACCATATATAATTATAATATCTATAATAATAAATATTAAAAAAATGTCTTTTTTTATAAAAAAATAGGTTGATTTTGATTAATAAAACGAATATCTAAAAAATTAGACAAAAAAAATACAATTTTTAGATAGAGTTTACATTTACATGCGCACTTTTAACTTCGGATGCGCAACTTGTCTTGTTTATATGTTTTATATAAATTTTAATAAAACAACGAAATTGAGAGAACTTACAATTATTTTTGCATGTATAAGCGTTGAGCAAAGCAGAAAGTATTTTCTTGCATAAAACTATTTATTATTAGTAATCGTATTAACAATTAAAAAAATTACTTATTGAACCTAGCTGTCGCACAAAAAATGCGCGGATGATCCTCGATTTTGATTGGCTAACGGCCGTAGATCAGCAAAATTTTGGTCCGCATTACATAATTGTTTACTCAATTCTGGCCGGAATTAACTTTTTAACTTTTTCATTCTAAAAATATAAATTTTCAAAGAAATAGGCCCGCGCTATGCTAAAATCAGCCCAGGAACAATTTTCACTTAATACGCAGCAGTGATTTCATTAGTAAAATTTTGAGTAATTCCGGCCAAAATTTTTAATCGTCGCTCTTAGCCAATCAAAATCGCGGCAGCTAGGTTCAATAAAATAATTACAGGATTAACACTATATCATATGTGTAACATTGCAGATCCTTAATAAAATAAAAAATTTCTTTGGTAATTCCTGAAAAAAATTGTATACAGAATGTATACAGAATGTCTGCGGAATTGGATCAATTTCTACGAATAATTTCTGATGCAATTTTGATGTTAAAGTTCCTGAGCAGTTCCCGGACACTTTTTTTATTGGGTAACCTAACCCTAACTCTAAATCGGGCTAAATTGTCAGTGAAATGTACCTGTATACCGTTGACTTAGAAGGGTAGATGACGTTGAATGGCATAAATTGCGTCATTAAAATATGTAGATTGCCTTCCTACTGTTACACTATTGTCTAACTATTTGATTTTCGATTTATAGATTTTCGAAATGCTGTATTTTTCCAAGTGGTAGCTGCAAATTCTGTCGAATATCTATAAAATAGTTAATGTTTTTCCCGAATTTGATCATTGATATTGGTAATCTTCACTTATCTACTTTGTTTCAAGTATCTATTGCAATGATAAGCTATACTTGTAAACAAAAAAAAACAATATAAAATCGGATATGTTCGTATTCTCGACAATCTTCTTTAGTAGAGGTTTATCGTATCATATAGAAACCAAGAAAATATACTAATTAAACTTAAAAAAGATATAATATATTTTTATTGTTTTAATAAATATAATAAATATATTTTTAATTTTTCTTAATTACTTATCTAAAGCAAAATATACTGTTGTAGCAATTGTGTAATTGATAAAATTTGATCGCCTAAACAAAAAAAAAACAAATATTAATATCAGATACACACAAAAAAAAAAAAAAAAAAAAAAAATCAAAAAATCAAAAAATTATAAATTATACATAACAGCCTTATTAGTTTTGACAAGATCATTTTTTGGAAGTTGTTCTATATTTAGAATTTATAAATAAATTCACTATTTAATATGCTTTAAATTATATTAATAAAAAATAATAGGATACTATAAGTAATTGAAGTAAATATAGTTGAAAATAATTTAAAGCCGATTTAAAAATATTTAAAAATACGATATAAAAGAGTATGGATATTTAAATATTTAGTAGGTGACGCTAATAAAATATATTATGATTATATAGTAATGTCAATTCTTTAACTCTTGCATGAAAATATAATACTATATTCTATCTATCGCAAAAATAAGGTATGATTTTCCCCACACCTAATCTTAACTGTCACAGAAATGAATGTCGATGAAATGCCAATCAGCCTACAATCCAATCCAATAGAGCAAAAGATTTCCTTTTTTTTTTTTTTTTTTTTTTTTTTTTACGAATATCAGGAGATATTTTAACTTATTTCATAATGTAATCTCCATTGTTAAATAAGCCATACAAATGCAACCTCGAAGCCATAATTCATAGATATTACTCTTTTCAAAAAAGATGCAGGTTTTCTCTTTGTATTGTGAATTATAAAATATTTCCTTTTCTTAATCTTATTAATGAACAATATAAGTTTGAAACAACAGCATTCTACAGCAGGGGATACATTGGATACATTGCATATAATTTTAATTACGTACGTACTGTACGTACCTAGTCGAGCATTATCAGTTATCAAAAAAGAAGAGCTTAAAATTACGTATATAAAATACTTAGAAATCATACTGATTGAAAAAAAAGGTTACTTACCTCTCGCCTCAAATAAATGGATAAAAATCATTCAAATTTACCTCATTATAAAGAGAAACAGGATGAATCAAATGCCGATTCATCATTATATAGTATTAGTAGTTCTCTACCTTTAATTGATAGTAATGCTAAAGATTTTACTGAAACGACCTTAGAGCTAGCCCAAGAACCCTTTCAACAATCTTTACAAAATTCTTTTCCCATACCAACAATCCTCGACATTATGGCTACTTCTGAAGTTTTAATGGATAATGAATCGAGATTGACCCATAATTCTTTTCAACAACCTTTACAAAACTCTCCTTTTCCCGTACAAACAATCCTCGACATCATGGCTACTTCTGAAGTTTTAATATATAATGAATCAAGATTGACCAATAATTCTTTTCAACCAATAAACCTTGACATTATGACTACTCCTGAAGCTTTAATGGATAATGAACCGAGATTGGCTTATAATTCTTCTCAACAGGATTTATTCATTACACTTCCTTTTCCTCCAAGAATTGATATTAATAACCTAGCTAAACCGAATTGTGGGATAAAAGCCTTTAACATTTATCGTAAAGCTTATATTGAAGAGCTTTACTCGCAAAGAGTCAACTTCCAAGAGTCAAAAATATCATCAGTTATTGCTAATTCTTGGATAAAAGAACCAAAATATGTAAAAAAAGAATACCAAAGACTCGCAGAGAATGCAAGTGCATCTGGGCGTTATGGAACTAACAGAAGGCATGCTTGTAGTGAGTGTCAAAGATCAAGAATAAAATGCGTAGGCAGTGGTCCATGTGAACGATGTGTTGAAAAAAAGTTCAGATGCATATTTATCCCACAAAAAAAGCGAGGTCCTAAAACTTGTAAATCTCTACGTAGCTCATAATACATGGCCTTTTAAGGTTAGTATTTCCATATTCGAAATGAATCTATAACGATAACGTTAATGTTTAATGCGGTCAACCACATGTATTGATGTTAAAACGTTGAAGAAATACTACTTGCTTCTTAGTATATTTTATATGATTATGTTGTACTAAGAAAAATTCGTTTAGACACTTCAAATGCTATCCTATCCTTTTTATTCTATTTTGGAATTTATGCACTGTACGTACGTACATGTACTGTACGTATGTACAGTTCTGTACGTACAGTACGTGGTATTAGACAAAAATTGGGCATATAAATATTGCGTGATTGGACAAACTGTACTGTAGACTTGCAATATGGGAAAATATAAATTTCCTGAGTTATATCTGCAAAATATCATATTCATATATAGTCTTCACTTCTTAACACTATCTTTTCAAATTCATAGATTGCATCCGGAAAATGTATACCAGATTGTTGCGCTATAATGGCTGAATAGTATTAGATTCTTTCAGAGATCCGTGTCGGAGTTATTTTGAACATTATGTAATAGATATTTCACGGGCTGTTGCGAATATCATGAATTATCACTGCGTGATAAATTAATGATGTTCATGGCATACCGTGAAATATTTTTTAACATTTCTGATTAAAATTTTTATGATGACTTAATGTCCCGTGGAAAAATGTTTGATATTTTCACGGCATTACGTCATCGTAAAAATATCATCAGAAATGATCTCGGGTGAACAATAGGACCGTGGAATATGTTTCATTTTTATCATGAAAATGCAACTAGAGCAGAAATATAAAGTAGATTTTGATCATGAAATACTTAAATGTTCCACTTCGTCTTAATAATATCAAGTCTTTAAAGATTATTGTTTCATAGATGCGAATAATTATGATAAAGTTCGTAATTTTCTGTTTCAATAAAAATTCTTCTCAAATAGAAATAATTGAATTATGCAAGAATTATATTTGAAGGAAATCTAGAAAATATTAAATATGTAATATAAAATAAAAACACAAAAGAAAGTAAGCAAAGAAATACTATATAATTTTAATCAAAATAAATTTTTGATGTAGTTGTAGAATTTAATTTAAGCATTAAAAACTAGTTATAGTATCATTATTTTTCTTGATAAATAATTGACCGATCTAGCGCACCAACCTGGTATATAGTTTCCGATGTAACGCTAGGGAGAGCATCTAAAGAGCTTGAGCCAATTTAGTATGTAGCGTAGAAGTTAACTTAAAAGAGCCGTGAGTATGAGATATTGGGAAAGCGATTATTATAAAAGAGAGTCTTTTTTATTATAATGTTTTATTAAGAAACTATTGATTAGAATTATTTATTATGATCCTCATTAGTTGAGCGACCCTTATATAATACGCAATACATTCGGGTGGGAAAAGTTAATAGAAAATATAGTAATGAGAAATGATAATTAATAAAAATGAAACAATAAAAAGATTAATTAATAAATTCATACGTAACATACTGTAATGTAATAATTAAATATAATATATATATATGAAATAATTAAGGATGACCAGGCCGAAAATAAATAACGCCCGCTTAATTCAATAAAATAAAAAAAGGGTTATCAAGAAAAAATTCGCCCGAAGTTTAATGAAATCTATAAACAAAAAAACTACACCAATATTTTTTTTAAAAAATTTAAATTCAATGAAATTTTTTTTATTTCGTGATCGAGGAATAGCAGTTTGATCAATTAGTAGAACCGATTACTCATAACTCTGGTCAAATTTGCAGATCGTTTGGCCAAATTCAGTTTTTTAATAATTTATCTGGCCAAATTTGACTAGAGTTAAAAGTAATCGGTTCTACTATTTAGATCACAGATCAAAATTGACCCTAACGTATATCTATACATGTAAAATTAAAAAAAAGCAATCAAATTATCAAAACATCTCTCTCAAGACTGAAAAAATCCATCCAATTATACCACCTGTAAACAAAGAAATTGCGAATAAAATCTTTGATCGAAAGTTTCTCGACAATAACCTATCAAATTTGAAATTTTTTTTAATTTTAATTTTTATTTCATTTAAGAATTAAACCAAAAAAATTTATCAAGTAAACCTCGCTCAAAGTCTAGAAAACCAAATTTTGAAATAGATTGAATAAATTTTGAGCCAAGTTTTCTCGACCACCACTTAATTAAATTGATGAAAAAGTTTTAGTACCTGTTACTCATTTTGTAGGATTTAAAGAAAAAAGAAAATTATTTAAATTTTATTAGGTGGTTATCGAGAAAACTTTGCTCAAGTTTTAAAAAGATTATATTAATAAAGTAAGATAAATTAAAGCTCAAGTTTTTTTAAAATTCCCAACTAAATTCAATGAACATTTTTTCTATTGAAATTTCTATATGTCCATAGATTTAAATATAGTCAAAATTTAGTTAAGTAGTTATCGATGGAATATTTAAACAATTAATTGATCATCTAAATGCTGTGATGGCCACATAATTATAAAAAATTACAATTTACTAAAAGTTACGTTAAGCCTGTTTTTTAACAGGAAATTAAAATCGGATTTAGAGTTACAAACTAAAAAGAGTAGTTTTATATGATTTGCCCAATAATCTTTTACCAACATAATTATAAGTCAAGCCAACCTTACTCTAAATCGGTAATATTAACTGTCAGGTAAATGAGAGCCACTGCGTTAATGCAACTGGATATATCGAAATTTTCTAAATCAAGTATGTAATTTTGGTCATATGGTGTGCCGTCAATTAAAAGGGACCATTTTTACATTTTTTAAAAAAAATGAGTTTTTATTAAATTCATGTAAATTTTGACATGATTGACATTTTTTAATTATAAATGAAAGTCGATTTGCATAATAAAAAAAATAGAGATAACGTAGAAGCAAAATTACACGAGGCTACCTAAGGTTAAGCATATTACGAGATTGCCCGATAGTCACCTGTTACATTTAACCAATCTAAATTGTGAAATTTGGACGAAAAATATAATAGACTTTCCACCACATAATTCATATGATTTAATTTATTTTTCATATACGAATAATATAATAGACTTTACATAATTCACACGATTTTAATTAATTAAAATCGTATACCAGTCTATGAAGTTTGGTATATGAAAAATAATTTAAATATAATAAATAGATGTATGTAGTTTTTTAATAAAATAAAGAATAGTTCGAAACAAAAATACAAGACATGTTATAAGTAATGTGCGAAAAATGTAACAGAATTTTCCAAAGCTAAAGCTTTCAAATTTACTCAACTACCTATGTGCCCCTAGGAGTCGTAACCAACCTCACTTATTTAAATTCAATATTTGTGGGAGGCTTGGATGCTGCTGTTTTTATATGGCTTTAGCATAAGATTTTTGTCACATCATTTGTTGGGGCTTGGTCCAAATAACTTGTATTAGCTACTCTAATTTGGAATTATTATCAAGTTTAGGACTCGATTTCAGTGCAGTTCCGAACTTATTTTCTGGGGCCACCAATTTACTCCATAATGGTAACAACATGATGGATTTTCAAGCTTTTCTTAAAAAAATTCTTGTTCCTTTTTTTAATATTTCATCATGACATGCTCTTTCTGAACTACTTCTTAACAAGGATATAAATCAACTAGAAGACATACATCCTCGACGATGCCTTACTATTGTTTGGTTGGTCAAATATTAATAAAGTATCCGATTTTTTATATAATAAAGACAAGAAATGCACCACAGAGAATATCGCTAAAAAAATTGAAGACAACTGAATACATGGAACTGAAATTAATAATTTCGTCTGTGGAACTACAGATAATGCTAAAAATATGAAAGCTGCATGGAATATCTTAAGAATTAAATAGTGTTCTTGGATGCTGAGCACATAAAAGTAATCTATTAGTTAAAGATATTCTTAAAAATTATTTGGCATTACAACTTCTAAAAGAATTGGTTTTCGATTTTGTAATCATCAATCAATTCCTATAGCAATTCTTCATCGTTTACAAAAAGAAGTCGAGAATATACAAAGTGTACTTAACTATTGATACTAGGTGGTGTGAAAGTGAAAATTTCCCACTCCGGAAAATTGATGCGGTCTTGAGGTTACACGATCACGGAAATCCTGGTTATCCAGGTATAAGCGACATTCCTGAAATATTAAAGATATTTGAGATATTAGTTATATTTTAGATATTAGTTATATTTGAGATATTAATTATATTTTAGATATTAGTTATACTTGAGATATTAGTTATATTTGATATATTGGTTATATTAGGTACCTTTAAGATATGTAATAACTTTGATATCCTCGTTACATTTTTCATTAGTTAAAATTTTGTATATAAGTACCTCGAATTTTGCGTTAATAAAAAAATAACTCTTAGAGTTCCAATACTTCGAAATCATAATTAGTAGAAATCTCCAAGTCTAACAATCCCCTTTCGTTATAAATTTTTGTTGTCTAAACCATTCTTGTTGAGAATCGTTGTTGTATTGAACCCGTGATTTTTCTTTGTTATTTAGTGTTAGAATCTGTGCTCCCCGTAAAATTTGAATTGCGATCCCTGAATCGTGACTTTCCAAAACGTGATAACTATAACGTGACCAAGAAACCATTAATCAAAAGATTAGCATTAGAGAATCCAAAGACTCAACCTTAATAATCACAAACTTACCCAAGTAACTCTATAACTCGGACCAAGTTAATCCTTGCCTCTTTCAAGCCTTCCAAGTTAGGGTTAACTATAGTTGGATTTTTAGTTTATTTGGGATTATTTGTATAGATTAGTTAGTCCCGAACCTCTGCGTTACCAGACCTCTGGACGAGTTCTATTGAGAATGATTCTGGACTTTTACAGTAGACATCAATTTTTGAATGTCTTAACCATGTCCTATAAACTCGAGTTGCAAAAACAAACTTAAGAAAAATAATTCATCATTAAAACGACAAGTATCATAAGGCCGTTCTTAGTTGATTATTAGGTTAACGTCAATATTTGGGCTCAGGTATAAGGGGGGGAGGGGGAAAATTTAAACAAACACATATTGTCCCAAGAATATTTGATCAAATCTCATTGGTCAACATTAATCACATATTAATGAAGTTTATGATTGGCTTGTTTAATTTTTGGGGGGAGGGCAGTTAAGCGAGGGGGGGATGACGTTAACCTAATAATCAACTAAAAACGGCCTAATAACAGTTATCATAGTTATTAGGATAATTATAGTAATAGACATAGAGAACGAACATACATATAGAAAACTTTTATTATAAATAAAGGCCGAAGTGGCCCTAGTTGAGGGACAAGTTTTCCCCTTCGTTTATTAAATAATTACTTAACTCCTTACATATAATAATTGTTCATCAATAAATAATAAATTCGTTAAACTACCCTAATTCCAGTTTGTTACTAAGTGGCAAGTGATAAACTTTGTCTCTCTCTAAACCCTGTTCACGTGACCCTTGCTAAATTCGATACCTGCCCAGTTGTTAACCTAACGTACTTGGTGCAACTGTGGTTGATTTGTCCAGCTTACCCGAAGTAGTGTGGTATAGCTGAGGTTAAAGAAAGATCAGAAAGTACCCGGATAATAGAAAGACCTACCTACGGAACCAACCAACTCGCCAAACCTAACACGCCTCTTTCCAGTAAGGTCTACCGTAGGTTACGCAAAGAATTTGGATTGTCAAGCGACTGACTCGCCGCTATACCCGGTTTCAATATGCATCCGGCCTTAAAATTTAGGGTAGAAGCCAATAAAATTGCAAGTTTTAGTTACACAAAAGTCTGTTTAAAGATTATAATCATTAATTTTGTAATTTTTTTGTGTAACTAAACTATTTAGCCAATTAAAATACATATTTATCCTATATAACCTCATATAATTTATACTATTTAATATTTCAAAATTTTAATTCACGAATTTAATAATAAATGCTTTACGCATTCTTTACATATACTGTATACGCTTGCATAATAATATTAATAAGTCAGAGTCTAAATAATGTAAAATAATTTGTTTTGTCTTCTATAATATCAATCGGAAGTATTTTCATATTGCATTTTCTAATCAGGATATTTCTTTATTTTTAAAAATATTCTTTTGCTTCAAGATATTTTACTTGAATAAGAGGTTCTGCACACTACGAAATAGTTCATAGCAAAACCAACAAAATTTACTGTTTAAAGATTTTAATCATTAAACTATCTTTTGCATTCATTCGAAAAGTTTATACATTATGAATAATTCATAATAATATAAAATCACCTGTAGAATATTTAAAAGCGATAAAATCCATATGATTATAAAGAATTTTACCAATTAAATAAGCTAAAGGTATTCTAAGAATATATTTAAGATTTTATTAAATTTAAACAAATTTAAATAACAAAAAATTAAAAAGAGATTATAAATACTTTTACAATAAAAAGAGTGCTATTTTAGAACTTATAAATATGGTTTATTAACTAAAGGTTTTATACAGAATATTATAAGAATTAACTATTCTCTAATTTTGTTTTGGCTAAAATACTCGGGGCATATTACAAATTAGCTAGTTCGGATGTAACGTAAGAGGTAACGTTAACGGGTAGTGAAAAGTCAAAACTAACATTCATTTAGAAAAAATCGCTTGTTTTAAATTTGAATAAAAAAACTTTTTTTTGTCATGGCTAAAGTAATATTTTGAAAGATCAGTGATGTAATAAAATATATAAGGAGGTTTGATGTAAACTTATACTTAATAAATCTCAGTGTATAATATATATCAAGAAGCATTATGGTATGAGTAGAGAAGTTGATAATAAATCAGATGAGTAAAATGAAGTAGACAAAGTAAAAGAAAGTAACGAATAAAAAACTTTTGGGTTGTATTTTAGTTTAGCAAAAGTTCTAATAGGTCTTTTTGATGGATATTACGAAACTCAATGATCAATTAAATAACAAAAATAAGTGCGTCAAAAAAAAAAAAAAAAAAAACCTTTAAATACTAAGTATCTCTACATTCAGTAAATAACTTTTTAACAATGCAATATTACTTATAAATATAAATGTAGTTTTTAAATTGAACGTAAATTATATTAGTGTTACGTTTCCTCAAAACTAAAAAAAAAAATAAAGTATAGTGTAATCTATTAGCAGAATATTAGTTAAAATTTATCAATATTCATCGGATTTAAATTGCAGAGTTTACAAGCAAATAATTTATAAGCAAATAGTAGGGATGGTAAAAGCTTTCATTAAAAACAGGTAATGATTATGTTCTGGATATATTGAAATGCAGATTTAACTATTCGGACTTTATCATCCTTACCAAATAGCCAATTAGAATACTGTACCACCGAACTTTCTTTTTTTGATAAGTATTTCGGACTACGGACTTAAGTATTTTCGGACTACGGACTTCTCTTAATATCTACGAACAATAATAAAGGTTAACTCTTGAGTCCATGTAAGTATATTATATTTGTAAATATTTATAAGGCTGAATTCAATTACAAAGGCGATTTAGATTAACTTATAAATGATAAATTCAATAGAGAAATCCTTAATAATAAAATTGCTGAACTTTAACTACAGTTAATTCAATTAAATTTTAAACGAAGTCCATAATGCAAATTTTCGTGTGGACATTGACCGGAAAAAAGATAACTTTAGAGGTAGAATCAAGCGATACAATTGACCAAGTTAAACAAAAGATACAGGATAAAGAAGGTATTCCAACTGACCAGCAACGCCTAGTTTTTGCTGGCAAGCAATTGGAAGATGGGAAAACCTTGTCAGACTATAATATCCAAAAAGAATCTATATTGCATTTGATACTTAGACTACGTGGTGGAATGTTTCATGAAACTAGTGGCCGCACAGGATTCGATGAATTACCACCACTTTCTCAATTTACAATCCCTAAGACCGAAGAATGTAAACAAGAACACACACTTTCCCAAACCGAAGAACCTCCACAAGATGAAGTTCATAATGGTATATTATGGCAAAATCAGTTGTTAAGTTTTTTTTCTGAAAAATATAACTATTTATTAATTTTTCTTTTATAGATAAAAATAATAATAGCTCTGTTGCTGTTACTCCAAAACTTCCAACCACAAAAGAGGAGTTGTTAGCATTGCTACGTGAAGAGGAGAAGCGAAGGATGTCACCTGAATTACAAGAGTTATATCGTAAAGTTGGCAATGACCCTACATGTGGTAAAGATTGGATGGATATCACTGATCAAATGCAACATGAATTGGTTCGTGAATTTGGCTACTCGGATGAGGCAGTGCAACTAATGCGGCGTGCTCCACAAATTTATCCAGGTAATAAGCACGTATTTCCTTTATTATTATCTTTTTTAATGTGTTTAAAGTAATTTATTTTTTGATTGATTATTTACAATTTAGATGATCCTGAATTTCGTAATACTCAAGTATATGTTCGCAATAATATTGCACACATTGGAAACCTTACTGAAGGAATGCAAGCACCTGATTGTTCACTTATTCCTCTAGGTTCTTCAGACTCGACAATTCCGAATGT